GAATTGTTTTATTTTATGAACATCATGGTTACAAAAATAGCAAATCACATAGCACAGCATATTTGCTATGAGCATTTGGAAGTCAAATAATATGACTCAATATTTCTTAGAAAATTTTAAATTATTTTCATCAGTTGTGTCTTATTCCTAAATCATACTTACGTGTGTAATATGTTTGTATTTCTTAGTGCTATGTACTTGACACTCTATAACCGATAAAAATTATAACAGCTTTCTGCAATTTGAAGAATTTTAATCCATAGATACACTATTTCTGTCTTATATAGGCAAAGTTGTATAACTTTGGCATTTCTAAATCCCTAATGATCCCCCAAATTTTCTTTTGATTTCAATAAACAATAAAATGATTTTAATAAAAATAGAAGGGATTCTCATTTGGAGAGATGCCTGATATCACTTTTACTATAAATTACAGTATATCAGACCTCTCTATTATGCTTACTAATGCCAACATGAAGATTACTATCATAGTGGAAATAAAATAATTGCAATCTAGGGAAAAAGCAATAGAATTGTACTGTAAACCCACAGTAATAAATGGTTCTTATAAAAACATAATGCTAATATTTGCCATCAAATAAAAATTCACTGCAAATGGATGGTTTACTATTATGTTTAATAAAATTTACTTCACTTGTTGGAGAAAAAAAGCTAAAAATTTAATTATTAAAACTCTCCAAAAATACTAGTAATGTCAAAGAATCAGCTATCCCTTGGCTAGACAGGTAATTTTGTGCTGTGTTAGCATTTTTTAGTTGACGTGATTTTTACATCATGTCTTTAGTAGTAAATATTTTCAAATTCTGGATTTTTAAATTTCACACATAAATCAAACATATGGCCATTGGACCCTCTTGAACTCTTTGTAGTAGTTGGTGACTTGACAGATAAAGGAAAGCTTTTTTTTAGTATTTCTTTGTCTGCACTGTTAGAATTAGTCAAAAAAAGTTTTAGTAATTTTAATGAAAATTATCTAAATGCAAATTGCCCTCACAATTTTCTCTAATCTCAGGAACCTATATGAAGAAGAAATGATTTAAAATATATACACTCCATTTGTCCTAGGAGAATCAACAAATAGTCTTTATATTTTTTATTTTGTCTTGTTTTCACATGGGATTAAACATCATAGGTGTATAAATCTTTTTTTAAACTTTAAATCTTTGTTGTATTTCAACCTACTTTTAATAATTTAATGTAGAAATACTTGTTTCACCCTGCTGTATCAGTTCTATCAGACAAGGTCTTACAGATAATCTAAATTTTAATCTTGTAACAAATATTTGTATTTGATTACTTTTATCTCAGATTGCAAACATAAGTAATTTGTCTGAAAATTATCTGGCTTACTGTTTTTTGGTTTCTTTCCTTTATTAATCTTCTTCCTTTTCCATTCTCATTGTCTTGGTTACTTTTCTTGTTGCTGAGACAAAATATCTGAGACCCAAAGTTAAAAGAGGAAAAGTTTATTTAGCTCATAGCCTGTAGAGGTTTCAGTTCATAGCTGGCTGGCTCCAAGGCAGGATGGTTTGGCAGAGGGGCATCGCAGAGGAGAAATAGTTCCTGGCAGGCAGAAGGCAGCAAAGCAGTAAAGTAATGAAGAAGCAGCACGTATCTCAGCAGCTTTTTCTGTTCCTTATATTTCTATCCAGGCTACCTGCCTTCAGGGCAAGTAGTACTCACACCAAGGATGGGCCTTCCCATTATCCACTCCCAGGACTACGCCAAACAAATTAGTAGGCCAATTTAGTAATCAGACACCGTTGACCCCAACATCACATACTCTAGATGTAGCCACCCATGGAAAGCCCTATCTATGACCCCATGAGGCTTTGGGAGGAGCATCTATATACAAGCTACAGCACTCTGTCTCCTGTCATTTTCTCAAAGATTTAAATATTAACCTGGAAGCCTTGCATACTGAGAGGGTACTCATCAAAATTATTCAAAGGATTTCTTAACAAAGGCTCTTTTCTTCTCTGAAATTTGAAGTTATGTTACTCTATCTTTAGAATAAATTTTACCTTTGATATTTTTTCATGTTAAAGAATGGCACTTAAATAATTTGGGAGTTGTGTTTGGCAAATACATCATTAGGTACCTACTCAAACACCTTTTGTGACAGTGCATTGTGTCATTATCTGAAGTTCTATAATATGCCTAATTATTAGATCAAACTGAACCCTAAATTTTACAAAGCTATTGTGATGATAAAGTGTGCTTAGAGAAATACTGCATAATAAACTGTCTTAGCTGCATTTGGTGACAGTTGCACACCCACACATGTATGTGCACTCACAGTCAATTCAAATGAAATTATTGATGTAATGACTTGAGGAAGAATTCTGTATGGAGTATTAAATTAATTTTTTTCTTCATACAGATCAGTGTAATATTCTGTTGTTCTTTCAAAAAGTCATAGTCTTCCTTTTTACTATCTCATACGATAGTCACTAACCACAAGTGGCTACTGAGCTCTTGAAATGTACTAAGTGCAAATTGAGACTTTCTATAAAAAAAGAGGAAAACATCTTACTAGTAATTAGTATGTTTATTATGTATATAAATAGTAATATTTAAGGTATGTTTGGTTTATAAAACCTACCAATAAAGCTAATTTGTGGCATCTTTCTTAATTCTCTTTATGTGGCTACTTGAAAATTTCAAGCAATATATAATTTTTGGATTTATGATTCACATTTTATCTCAACTGGACCTTAGCAGTCTAGGTACTTCAACTGTATCATTCTCCAAAATCAGATACTGTAGTAATATATCCCTTATATATCTTTATATTAGCAGATGGTGATACTTTCCTTTTTAAAAACACCTGGAACACTAATAGCATGTTCAATGTTTTATACAATTTACATAATGTCTTATGACATTCTTTTGTACAGATAGGCTTTTCTATAGATAAAAATTGCTGTAAGTAATTTCAAGTGGTAACATTTCAATCATAAACATTATTTATCAATGATTTATTTATACTTAAGAGTTAATTAATTTGTATTTTCAATAGTTTTATATGAAGATTTTTCTAGTGAAGCTTTCACTTTTCACCTCCTATTGAATGTAAATTGCAGCTTTGGGGCCAAGATGACCTATAAAAGTTAGGAATGACGTTAAAGTACATTTGGTAACATAATTTGTTAATTCTGTTGGCTTAATAGCCTATCTTTGTTGTTGAAGTTCAAACCATTTTTTAGCAACACCTTCTCCCCTTCTCCAGACATCCCTTCAGGGACATTAATCAAAAGTTATTGGCTTCCTCTCTGCTTCCCATGGCTATGACCTTGAAGATAATCCTTCTATCAAGACAATCCTTTTCCCCCAGTATCTGTCCATGTTAATCTTTCAGCCACTATAGACGTTATCATCCCTCAGAACAGGCACACCTTCAAGTTCTCTAAGATAACCCTCTCTCACAAATATGTCCTGTTTTTATGACTCTGCCTTCGTTTTCACCAAACTTTTTATTTCTTCTATGACTTCTACTGTTTGCTCCACTATTTACTCTGGTATTTCCTTTCCATATCAGTTGTTCCCATGGCATCTCCCCATTACCCCTGCCTAGGCTCCCCAGCCAGCCTTTTCAGCCTTGAGTTGGCATGCCTTCTTTTCTCTACCACACCCAACTGGCCCTATTCCTGTGTAGCATTCCAGGGTACCAACTGAATTCAAGAAAACCAACTGGCTACTCTAAAGCTCTCTCACTTTTATGTTACATTGAATGTTTTCTAAAATAACAATCACAGAATGTTTTTCTCCTCACATCACTGTTCCCTTGTCAATTTCCAAGCTCTTCAAACCTAACACTCTCTCTTTTAGAAGAATGAGTCAAACTAGAGTAAGTCTTGCCAACTTCTCACTTCTGTACTTTATCATTGTGAGTGTCTAGAAAATTTTAAATACCTGAATATCCCCATATCTTAATTGGTTGAGTTTATAAAAACTAAAGAGTTCATAATTTAGTGTGGGAATAGATAAGAAACAAATAATTAGTGAATATGATAAATGTCTATAGCAGACAAGAACTGAATATATTTGGAGCATAGAGGTAGAAATATTTTAATCTCCATGAAACTTTCCAAAATAACATGATATATTAAGAGAATAGTAAAACCTCTTCAGTGTCAGATCACACAATGTTCAAGATGAGCAGACAGATTTTTGTTTGTAGAATGTTCTTTATTTTGATGATAACGAATGACCTCTTTATATACACACTGTTTCTTTGGAAAGATAGGCCATAAGAACATTGAAAATGGAAGAAAGATAGCCATTCTTTTGTTGACTACTAACAGGATCAACCTAATTTGATTTTTCCATTTCATTTGTCCTATTTTGTCGCATGGTTCTGCCAAGCATGCTCATTTTTCTTCATTCCTTAGCAACCTTATATTCATAGAGTTTTTGACCTGGAAGGCCACATTAACATTTACTTTTTTGTGAGGTAGTTTTCCTATGTATGTCTTCAGAATAAGAGAACTATGCTCTTGAGATTAATGTTACTGAATAACTCATGAGTGGATTAACAGCATCAGATTATAAGCATATTTGTTGCCTTAATGACACTTGTAGGTGTGGTTTTTGTTCATATCCTTCAGAAGAATACAGAGATCAAAGTTGGAGCTAAAATTACAAGAGTAATGTCAAGGAGGAAAGATTTTTCATGTTTGATCATTAGAGCAATATGACAGATGAATTGCTAGGATGAACTCAGTTGCTCTTCTCAAAACTGAGAAGCTGTTGCTGTGAATTCTGCTTTTGAAGCCCATCACTGCATTGTGATATGCATTTGCTTACATTTGGGCCCAAAGAAGTAATATATCTCACCATTCTGGGATGATATAATGGCAATATGTCATTTATATAAGAGACATAGTTATATTCAATAACATTTTAAAGATGTAGATGAAGTTGTTCAGATACACTTTGAAGGAATACTTTGAGTTCACTCTTTCTCTTATGTTCAGGTTCAAAACATTATTTGTGGCTGGAGAACGATGTGATGTGGAGACGCTGGAATGGTCCAAGAAGGTCTTCAGAGTACCTGTCCTAGATCATTGGTGGCAAACTGGTAAGCATTTTCCACACATGGACATAAATATTGCCAAATGTTCAGAAATTTGCAAGGATTGGAAGGAATCCAAGCTATGATTATGAGGTACTGCCTCAGGATTCAAGTGATTTTGGTTTCAGTAGAAATTAATAGTTCTTTGTCACATTGTTTTTGAAAAGCAATGGCCCTGGTATCAGAATCTCTGTCATCCTTTTCTGTTTTAAACAATCTAATTTCTTCTACATAACTTCTAAGGCAGAGGAATTTATTTTTGTACAAAGGAATTATAATAATATATGTAATTTACTTATTTACTGTTTTGTTTTTATTCTCAGTTTTTCTCAGACTAGTGATCCTTGGGAAGCAAATTTTCATATTAAGTAGATAGTATATAAATTTTGGAACAAGGAAATAAAGAAAAAAACCCACCAATCTTCTTTCTGTTTCTTTTGAGGGATGGCTTTGAATATATGTGAGTGGATAGATGGGTTGAAATCTGTTTTCCTCTTTACTGATTATAGAGGTGTTTTTCCCTTTGACTCGGTGAAAATAATTATGGGAGTGCTACAGCCTTCATATGTTCATATTTCAATTCACTTTCACTTAGTTCTATGAATTACACCAGCCCCTTTATATTCATGTTTTCAATGCTCTCATTTTCTGATTACTGGGAGTAACACCAAATTTGTATTAAAAATTAATTAAGCATCTTTGCAAAAAGTAGCTCTGATTGTAAAATGGTTGTAGTCTTGAAGGTCAAGGAGACAACTAGAACAAGATCAGTGTTTTATAGTTTACATTTTTTGAATTTGAGAAATTACTCTTTTATATTATCTCCTTGGATATCGGTCTTTGGACAAATGTGTACTCTATATACATTGTGATATGAAATATAAAATGTATCAGAGCAGAAGACATGCTCATTATATAAATGAAAATCAGACATAAGGTTTCTGTTCTCTCATGTTTTATTTACTAAAGGAAAAATTATTCATCTATGGTTCAGATTTGTAACTAGGAATTTCAAAAGATAAGATAATATTGGAAGAAAAAAAATCAATGATATATAGAGAAATACATAAGAAGAAGTGAAGAATTATTATTTCTGCTGCAAAGAGTGTTTGTAGTACTGATGCATTCCCTATATCCAAGAGAATTTTAAAAGTTATTTTCCTGGGTATAAACTGGAAAAGACCATGTCACCTTTGAAATGGTTTTCTTGATCAAAATGGAGGAGTTTCTTTCCATCCATAAGTGACCTCATGTCAGTGCTTGCATAAGAGTTCTGTTTATGACTATGACAAAGCTTCTTGACAGAAGTCAATGCATTCAAAAGTAAAATTATGATTTACTTTTTTCTTATGGGTAATTTTTCACATAATGGTCTGAGTAGATACATGAAGTTAGTGCATTCGCGTTTACAAGAAAGCTCACTGAAGCCTGTGAAACCATCACATGAGGTCTCTAGTAGTTAATGAGTTGCATGGAACTTTGCAATTTTTCTTTAATGTATGGTTCAGAGGGAATTAATAGCCATTTGGTCTCAGCAACAGTTTGTTACTGTTACCAGCATGAAATGGCCTCTCATTACTGTGAAAAACAGGATTTCTGCAAATAAAATAACTACTTCCAATTTCTCCCATTTGATTTTACAGCTTATTTTTTTAAAGTGGTATATTCTATTTAATTTACTTTTTTAGTATTCTGTTCAATTGAACTACATAAAGACTTTCATATTGAATAGGTTAGGGAGGTACATTGATGAATGAATGCATAATTTTCTACTTTGTAAGAGAATTTCATCCCAGGTGGTACAGATGTCAGCTACTAAGAGAAGATCTAGTTAGCATCTTTATTAATTTGCAAGCAAAATAAATTTATCATTTTAAATTTGTATATTCAGTACCTATAAAGTGACACAGAAGTTCAGTTTTTATAAACATTCTATTAATGTTATATTAAATTACTCTTAAATCACTAGAGGGAAAAGCCAAGTATTGTATTGGTGATTATTCATTCTTAGAAAAAGAAAAAGATTGCTACTCTATTTCTGGAACATCTACTGTTTAACATATGGGATAGAGGGTGGCACATGTCTTCGAGAGCTATGCTGATAAACACAGCATAATGATTAAGTGGAGTTTAAGGCTTGACCAAAGAAGACTTTTCTTTATTTCAGCTTTCAAGTCTGTGGGAATCCTCTTTCTTGTTGCTGACTTAGAAATTAATATTTCTATGCATGTACAGACTTTTATGGGCCTTTTATATATATTTAAATATATATATATATATAAATGTGTATATTTATATATGAAAAATTCATGAATTGACCTTTGGTCACACTAATATAAAATAAAAGTGATTCAAACATCTAAATATTAAACAACCTACTGGAAGATAGAATAGGTAAAACGTTTGAAGACATAAGTGTAGACAAAGTTTTTATGAATAAAATCTTGCTTGCACTGGAAATATTAAAAGAATCAACAAATAAAGTCACATCAAGTTAAAAAGCTTCTATACAGCAAAGTAAACCATCAACAGAGTGGAACGGCAACCTGCAAAATGGCAAAAAAGTTGCCAGCTACTTTTCAAACAGAGAACTAATATCTAAAATATATAAAGAACTCAAAAAGATCAGAACCCCAAAATTTAAAGACCCATTCCAAAAATGGGCATCTGAAATGAATACACACTTCCCAGATGAAGAAGTACAAATGACAAATAAATATATGAAAAAATGTTCAACATCATTGGTTATTTGAAAGATGCAAATTAAAACAACACTGAGATGCCATCTCACTCCAGAAAGAATGGCTATTGTCAAGAAATCAACCAATAACAAATGCTGGTTAGGCTGCAGGGGAAAAGGAACACTTCTCCATTGTTGGTGAGAGTACAAATTGGTATAATTACTATGGAAACCAATATGGAGATTTCTAAAAAAACTAAAAATAGAGCTTCCATTTGAACAAGCTATTTCCCTTCTAGGTATCTTCCTGAAAGAGTTAAAATAATCATACCACAGTGATATATGCATAGTCATGTTTATAGCATCACAATTTTCAATGGCTAAATGTTGGATATAGCCTATATGCTCATCAACAGATGAATGGATAAATAAAATGTGGTACTTATATACAATGGTATGCTACTAGGCCATAAAAAAGATAAATTTGAGACAGTTTTAGGTAAATGGATCCACCTGGAGAACCTAATCCTAAATGAAACAAATCAAACACACAAATTTAAATATCACATTGTTTCTCTTGTGTGAGAAACCCAAAGAATAAAAAAATGCAAAATAGGGAATAGATACTAAAAAGTAGGAAGAGCTTTTCAAATGCAAAAGGGAATGAGAGATGGAGAATGGGAGAGGGAAGAAAGGGAAAAGCGATTTAAAGGAAAACAGAATTTAAAAAATAGAAATACAGTAAAGCTTTTGTAGGTGGGGATAGGAGAAGGATTGTGGGAGGAGAGGGGGAAAGGACAAAAAAAAAGAATTAAGATATGTTATGTACATGTATGAATTATCCACAATGAATGTGTTCATTATGTACTGCAAACATGTACTAACAAAAATATATGAGCACAAAAGAACTGTTTGGTAATTGTGAGGTATACTTTGAAATTATCAAGTATGTTAAATACCCAAAATTTATGAATAAAAATTGATTGGTTTCTGTGACTTGGGTTGTAAGAAGGTAATCCATTGATGTTATTGTGTTGTTTTTGTTACCCAGTGTAATTTATATCAGCAACAACGGATTTTTATGACTAACATTCTTTTTGATCCATTAATTTTAATACTGTTTGGTGTTTAATTTAAATAATATTTAAGATTCTAAATGGAGAACTACTGTGGAGAATCTGAAATCATATCAACACTCTCCACTACTCGAGGACTGCTTTAATAATCACTTGTTGTTCAAGACCACTGAAGTATGAAGCTCTTGATTTGGATTGTAATAATGTCATCATTTACTGCTTTCATGAAAGAAATAGGTATTGGTAAATTTGGAGAGTAAGGTTGTATTTAGCTGACTCATAAATTTGGATTAAAACTGAATTGGCAATCACCCAGATGTTTTATCATCACAGTAATTTAACCATGAAATAATTCAAGACATATAGATTATGGGCTAAATTTTTCATTTTCTTTTTTGCATAGAAATTGAAAAGTGGAGGTGAGGGAATCATAATTTAGAAAGGAGAACCAAGAGAATAGATAATAATTCCATTAAAATTTGTTAACTTGTGTGTTTATAAAACAGAGCAGCCAGAACTTCGCTATCTTCAATGTACAATTTTCACAGATCTTCTTTAAGACCGAGGGCCTTACCAAATGCTCCGAGGAGCTGACTGGAGCGAAGAACCCCCAGGAGGGAATACACTGGACAAGTTGGAAAGTAAAACAGACCTTTATTAGTCTGGCCAGACAGCAACCTCCAAGTAAACAAGCTTAGAGAGGCAACTGGCTCAGAGTCCAGGGCTCTTTTATAGGGGTTGCAAGGGGAAGTTAGCAAGCAGAGATTATGAAAGCGAGATGCTGATGGTTAGGGGATTTAGATAGCATGTTCCAGTACATTTCCTGTTTATGGGGAGTTGGGTAATTTCGAAGAACACTGTGCATTACGTGAACCTTTGTTTTTCTTCCCAGAAATGACATCACATGGTTTACTCAGAAGGGGAGGGGGAGTATCGAGTGAGGCAACATGGAGTAACCTTTGTTCAATCTCATATAGTCCCACACTTCAATAATCTGTACTGTTATAGATCATTTCTAGGATTAAGAGGACCTTTCCCAGAAATCAGACAGCACAGTTTTAGAAGTTGTACTGTCAGTACAATGTATGGTGTTCTTTGCAAGAATTATTTTTTCTGATTCAAGATGATTACAAAGAAGTTCTTTTACTTGTGAATAAATGGCTTCATATGCACAGATGTGCCCATATATGTGCATGTACACACACACACACACACACACCTATCTGGCCCAATTCCTTAAATTTCAGAGA